GGCGGGGGGTGGTGAGCAGCCAGATGCTGAGCAGGGGTATGGTAAGCAGCGGAGCAGGGGCAGTGCAGCGTCTGTGAGGCCCTGCTCTTGCCCCTCCTTGGCCCTGCTCCTGTGGCACGGGGTGGCCCCTGAGACCTTTCAAAGTACCCCCAGGAGTACGCATACCCCCAGTTGACAACCTATGACATAAGCTAATGGTAACAATAAGGAACAGTAGACTGAGCCCTGACATGGAGGCTGTGCCTTATAATTTTATTCACATTAGAAGCTTACTTAGTAAAAGAACCAGTTCTAAGACTCAGCAAAGCAGTGAGAGAAATTCTAAACCCACAGGGGCTTCCATCTTACTCCCCTTAAGTAATTGGCTAATTACACAATTACCTTAAGACCAGCTACATGTGCAAATTAGCTATCACACCATTAAAAGCTCCATCCAGCCATAAAGTTAGATCTAAAAAATGTGTACTAACTATAGTTGGTTGCTATTGAGCTTTAATTTGCATGTGTAGCAGGGTCTTCCCTGTGGCTGGGAGGCCTGTTGGCTGACAGGACTCTCAGCTGCAGAGGTGCACCATGCCCAGCTAGGGCTGGGAGTTCTACAACTGATGGGACTCTCAGTGCCAGCAGCTGCTGACTCTGGGTCCCAGCACAGTCCTACAGCTATGGACGCTGGGTACTGGGATCCAGCTTGGTCCTGGCAGCCAGGGAGTGTGGCTGCATTGAGGTACATGAAACTCCTGGAGGCTGAGGGATTGTGCCTGAGACAGTCTCCTAGGTTCGAGAGTACATGAAACCTCCGGTGTACCTGTTATCCCCCAACTCCATGGGTTCCATGTGCTCTCAAGCCCTGGATGTTGTGACAACCACAAACACTCAGCCTTGTAAGTGTGTGGGGCACCCCCCCAAACTCAAAGCCCCTCAACTGAGGGGTGGTCCCAGCTACAGGAGCTTGTTTCTTGCCAGTGCAGGGGAGAATCAGGCTCCCCCTGCACTGGGAACAAGGTGCAATGGGATCTAATGTGTGATCTATAATCGTACCTCCATAGTAGGATATACAGTTGTGTGCATCGTGCATTCAATCCCATTGTGCCTTTACCTGAATGTGTAGAGGAGGCCTCAGTCTTTAATGTTGCCAGTGGAGTCACTGTTATCCCAATCAAGCAGATGATTAACCCAATAGAAAGCTGAAGATGTGAAGCAAGGGGCGGAGCAGGGATGTAGCAATAACCTGAGACTGGTGTTGCATTTGTTCTGGGAGAAAATGTTTTCTCCCAGGACAAAGTGCATTCATTCAGACATCCATGTGCGCTGCCCTGGAACAAACCCTTAAAAGGTTTGTGGAATAAGAAGAGATAGCAGTTTGCCCTGGGACATCACAAAATACATCTAAAATGTTGTCCCGAGACTGCATTATTGGATCAATGGCAGAAAAGTGGCTGTGCATTCAGCTGCTCACTAAACCCTGATTGGAGGGGTGATGTGTGTACACGCCAATCACACAACTTTTCTTTTTCTATTCTTAGACAAATGTGATGTGTGTTCCCAGCTTGAGGGACTCCCTAACCACTCAGGTCAGGATATTGATATATATCTATGTAAAGATATAATACTTCCAAAGTAAATAAGTTAAAATAAACACTTACCCAAAAAACTATGATACTTGTCAAATGATGGTCAAGTGACACAGAACAAGCACCTGCAACTTGTCCTTAGAGTCATACAACCAGTTGTTGTGTTCACTGTGTTTGCTGCTATGCATTCAGCCCAAGAGCTAACTAAACCTGGTCCTGTAGGGTCCACAGACAGGGCCCTCACTAGGGAAACAAAAGACAGAGATGGTCACCAGAGTGCTGAGCCATTAGAAATTCTGCTATGCCTTTTCTTTGCTGGATACAACCATTAAACACAGTCTACTGCATCACCTACCAGAAGAGAGTTAGTTCTTGATTTCATTCCCACAGCTGTGTCAACTGAATTCCAACAAACTAAAACTGGTTCAAATGAGAGCAGAATCAGGCCCTTATGCTGTAAAAAAAGAAAATTAAAGCAACCCCCCACCCCCAAGTAAAATCAAGAGGACCAGATCCACAGCTAGTGTAATTAACCAGTGAAGTAAAGAGAGGTCACCCAACTTTTACTAAGTGAGAA